CCCCTGCTCCATAGGGTGTCTTAGTGTAAATATGGTAAAGGATGGCTTTACATCGTCACTAGAGTAGGACGTCCATAGAAAGTTCGTTGGCCAATAATAGGGCGGCCATAGGATGACTTCAGGAAGGCAACAATAGTCGTGGTCTGCCTATAGGTTCTTCCCAAGGACGCTGCTCTAAAGAACGTCTTCGGAGTGTCCATAGATATTTTTGTAAGGGTCTTGAATTGTTTTATAGAATTTACTTCATCGGACAGTGGTAGAAAATATTAGTTTCCAACCAGATACTGTAAGCCCATCGCATGCCTTAATCTCTACCCAGACACACTCAGAATATGATTCATGGTCAGAACGACGATGTGACCAAAGAAATGTATCGGTAGCAATTGAAACGCCACCACCAAACATTTGACCAGTAGACTACTAATCCCGGTCCCGGAAATACACTTCGAAACTAGGAGTAAAATATCTGTTATCGGGTATCCCATTACAGAACCAAGTTTCCCTAAGGCCGAAAAACGTCAAACTTCTGTTATCACTATGTTGGGCATGAACCCGTCAGCCTTCGGTCGCAGGTTATTCAAGCGTTGACAGCAGACACCAAGTGTTGCAGCCATTCTCGCGTGGTACCATTTTCTAATTTGTAACACGCGCATTGTTAAGGCGTCCGAAAAACCGGTGGCAGGCACTGCCCTCGTGCCAAATTTCGGATTTCTTTAGAGCTGCCAACGGTGTATCGTCGCAAGCAAAGTGAACTACGAGTACGATAAAAGTCTAGTTGTCATCCCAGATGAGACAATCGTTCTACGTTCTAGGAAAGGCTCAATCAGGAATACTATGGAAATAACAGATGTGCTCGGGTCAAGCGTGGACACAAATGGCGCGATCCGTCATACCGGGGGAAAACAGCATTCAGCTTGTCCGATTTTGCGGCCCAGACGACGGATTGGCTCGTCGCCGGGGCTTGACCAGAATGAAACCGTCATCCGTCGTGCTCGCTGAATTTGCTCCGTCGACACCCCGTCATCCAGAAAGCAGCGTCCGAAAACTACGCTCGTCGGCACTTACGGTGTCCGGTCGGCTTGTCGAACGATCCGGTAGATTCTCATAACCAAGCGTCGACGAGGGTCGACCTTGCACGTTCTGCGGCGACCGTGTTGACACAGAAGGGGCAAAAACCTAGGATGCATTTTTGTGTCCGAGACCTTTGTGGTGAAGCCGTGGAATTTGGTCGAGAACGTTCTTGCGCAGCTACAGAACTTTAGAGCGAAGACTTCGGTTTTCCGCTCTCGGAATTCAGGGATTGTTCGTCCTGTTGTCCATGACACGCATAAAACTCTCTGGAATGGACAGGCATTCTTGCGCTGCAACTGACTGACCCTCCAGGGCGTACAAAATGTCATTGGCGGTGGAAGCAGAATCGCCAGCAGCGTTCGGTGATAGGTAGGGTTCTGAGTTTTTGTTTTTTATTTTTAGAAAATTCGGCGTACCTTTTTTGGTTTTTATTTGAAAAGTAAATTTTCGCTTTTTATCGATGAATATATATATGAATGAAAATTTCCCGGTTTCTTTCGGTGAATATGTGATGCGAAATGCACTCTTTTTCAGCATGTTTGTCCAAACTATACTAGGCGAATATTTTTCATATCGGTTCCTTTCTTTTCAGTTTCACTTAATTGATTCAGACAGTGTACGGATTCCCATTTCATGTGAAGTGCAGACTTGACGTTCTCTTCTAGTGGTACTCAAGTCCTACTGTGACCTGAATTAATCGTCGCGGGAAGCATTCTCAGAGAGGACTAACATGATCTTGGCTTCCACTCGCGTCGGGAGCACACACTTTGCCTAGAGCGCGAAACACATGTACGACGAAACCATCCGATCCGACGTCCGATCAGGCAATACGACGGTCGGACGCGGCTGGTTTGGTCGTGTCGCAACGTCGGAACGGCGTTGCGGCATGCGACCGACTGTCCAGGGGTGGTAGCGGTGGTCGGATGGCTGCAGTCATTGACGACGCAGGTTCGCGGGAACGTCATGGGGACGTCAGGTTTTTGGGAGCGGGCAATACAGGAGCGAGGATACGGTTGCGAGTCCCTCTTCCTTTTCTTAGCATTTCCGGGAAGAGGAAGAGAACCCGCGCACCACTTTTTTCAGGGCTCAAAATGAGAGGGGGAACGCGTGCCTGTACCTTCCACTGCATTGCCAAGAAAAGTAGGAAATGAGGCAACACACACTGGTTACAGAACTGGGCGGAGCCGATCGCAACCGTCCGAACGACGTGTCGCAAGCTCGGTCGGAAGCAGGTGTCACGAAGAATCGTTTGCGGCGAGTCGGAGCGACGATCGGACGTCGGATCGGACGTCGGATCGGGCGTCGGATCGAACGCTTTGGTCGTACATGTGTTTCGCTCTTAAATCGCGGAATTCGCGAGCATTCGCGCCGTGATTGTTGTCTACACACGCAGCCTCAGGAGTTCCGATTGCCGAGCCGCGCCGGTCCCAATTCTACCCCATCCTCTCTTCTAGTAGACCAGTGTGGCACACGTTCCTAAAAAAAAAAAAAAAAGAAAAAGAAAGGCGAAAGTTTTTTTTTTGTTTTTTTTTATTTTTGGAACGCGTTCCCGTTACAAGTTCTATATGTGAAAAAGAAACTCGTTCCCGTTACACTTAAAAAAGTGGAACGTATCGCCACATATACGCTACTTTTGTATTTTGCAGATTACCATATTTAATTATATCAAGCAAAGTTGTTTAGTTTTGTTTTTATATCTATCCCATCAAATGGCAACATACGAATTCGACTGCAGTGATGGAAGGGCAGCAGAAGAAGACCAGCGAAAGCACGTTTATATTTGTTGATATATTCATTTTTAAAAATTTCAGCTTTTAACCATCTTTTGTGCTGGGCAGTTTAGACGAGCCAAATGTGCTGTTAACCCACATTGCCACGAGCGTTTCACAACAACCTCACACATTTTAATCTAACAAAGTCCCTTGTTCGAACTTAACAGCAGTTGCGTCTTGATGTTGCTGTCCGCAAGACGAGCAAGTGAAGAAGAGGGTAGTGCTTTTGGAAGGTCAGACTTGGAAACTACAAGCCCTTCTTTGTGATGGTTTGTTCTGAAAAAAGGTCGTGCGTCTACTTCGCCACAAAACACTCGAATAGCCAATCACCGCAACTTACGGAGGCAGCTCAGCGAATGTCGATGCCAAAACATGTTTAGACCAAAAAACGCAGTCTGAGTTGTGACATTAAGCTATGCAAGAGTGACGTTTGGCATTGCTTAATGACACAATTCAGATCGCGTTTTTTGGTCTAAACATGTGTTTCGGCATCACGATTTGCTGAGCTGCCCCCGTAAATTGCGGTGATTGGCTCTCCGTGTGTTGCGCGGGAAGGTAGACGCACGGGCTTTTTTTTGAGTTGGATTCGTTGTTCAGTTTGAAGGTGGGGGACAAGAAGAGAAGAAATAAATATTTTTTTTTTGTATCTTTTAAGTCACCAATATTTGAGATATAAGGGTGTGTTCGATGTCAGGTAACCTGTTCTCTTGTTGTAACTGTAGGTCTCTTTGTGGAAGTTCATTGATGGCTGTAGTCTGCCTTAGATTTTTGGGTGTCTGAGGATTCGTGGAAGCAAAGAAAGTAGCCGAGTTTCAATCGTCCCTCTTTCTGTGTCTTTTTCTTAGAATAAAACTTGTGCTTTTAGTACCGCGGTCTCGGGCACAAAAAAAAAAAAAAAATAACAATAATGAGTGTCATCTAGCTCTCCTACACCCGACTGTTACAAAGCGAGGACAACACAAAATAAACCCTAAGATAGGTAACCAAAATGTTAACAAGATCATATTCTTTGTATATATATTGTTTTTATACTTTTAGAATTTCCGCTTAGAAATAAAACACAAGATACCACACTGGACGAAAAAAATGACCGCATCTCCACGTGGTGAATGATGTTGATTGGGGCGAATCTCCGGTGGTGCTTGTATGCGGAGATGCTGAGCCGTAGCATGCCGTGCCTTTCATTCGTTTTCATACATGTCAGAAAGAGAATCTGTGGTATGGATCGTGGTTATATACGCATTCGAACATCTGACCGCAACGCCCTCTCCTGTATAGGCGTTGAGCGGCTACATGCAACTTCCATCCATGATATCCGCAGCTCTTGAGTTACTACCACATCACACAGCCCCCTACTCGTCCCACAGTAGTGGCCGAGTGAATAAGGCGATGGACTAGAAATCCATTGGGGTCTCCCAGCACAGGTTCGAATCCTGTCGACGGCGCAAACACTTTTTTTTATATTTTTTTTGCCCTGCACGAGCACATGAGCTCACGAGCACGAGCACCAGCAAGATCGATGTGAGCACGGACCCCGGACGGACAAGGCTAGACCCTAAAGGGGTATTCACACGAGGGAGAAATCCCCAGGATTTCTCCCTCGTGTGAATACCCCTTAAGGAGCTTCGCCCCTGAAAAAGGAACGCCGTTCCTTTTTCCGTTCCAGTCGAAATGTAACGAGTTTCCGTTCCAGTTCCACCGTTGCAAAATAAAACGGCGGCGTTCCTGGAACGCGTTCCTCCTCAAAGGAACGCGTTCCAGGAACGCCGCTCCGTACAACACCGCAGTAGACTGTAGAATTGTCTCCAGCCCTCCTCTTTTTTTTGTCATCTCACATGCTGTCTATGATGATTTAATAGCACCCTTTTCAGTTCAGTTCTGCAAGTCTATGCCAAATTTCCGAAGAACGCAATCTTCGTTGTTCTGTGCCTTTGCTACGTAAACATAAACATTGCGATGTAAAATCCCGTTGTAAATATAGGAATATGGAATCCGCATTGTTTTTCCTCTTGGTATTATCCTGAAGTCTCAATGGCACGGAAATAAAGTCAACTTATCATGATTACATTTATGTATCTTCGAATGAACAAGGAAATACGTCCTTGAGAAACATAAATACGAGTTTTTTTTTGTTTTTTTTTTGTTTTGTTTTTTCAGATGTCTAAACAAGAGGAAGCGAGGAACGAAAACGCGAAGTTGGTAAAAAGAATACAAGAACTGGAGAACCGTCAGGTACAAGCAAACACATTTAACTAGAATAATATTGAAATGTTTATTTTTTAAGCTTCCTTTAATTCGGAAGAACAACTTACTTTGCATGTGGTGAAAGGTGCTTACGAAACTAATTTCAGCTTGAGGCGGATCAATATCGCATTGACCTTGAAGACGACGTTAAGGTCCACAGGACTGTGCTGCAGGTAGGTTCAAAATTTGACTTGGGAACTTCAAACACTCCACAGAATTTGCCATAGAAACTATAAGGCGCACACCCAGCTCGACGCGCGTGAAGCGAAAGCTCGCGCTGCAGAACCCAGGGATCTTGAGTTCGAGCCCCACCCCTGCCCGTTTCGATCTGGATGAGCATCGTACCGGTGTGCGGTCGTGTATCACTACTGCGTGGTGCACGTTAAAAACCCCAGGCTAGCGGTTGTACTGCACTGGCTAAATTGCTCATCTACAGCGTGTGACTCGTCGAAACTTTAACGGCTGATCAACTACACACTGTATAAATATCCCCACAACCCCAATAAAATAGAAACTAAAGATAATAGACACCATGACACCCTGTAGAAATGTTTTTTTGTTTGATTGCCAAAAATCGTCGTTATAAATTACGTTTACATTCATGTCTTTGTTGGGAAGGTGACTTATCCACACGCAATTATGACAGGTGCAGGCGATACCACCTAAGAAGCATTCACCCACACCCTCCACAGCCACCCAAGCATGATTTATTTACTCATTAATGCAACCTCTTTGAGGTTTCAGCATGATGAAGACTTTCCTGAAGCAAACTAGACAGCAGTCTTGTCTAAATGTTAACATGGCATTAATGAAGACACCCTTCAAACTTGAATCCCTGTGATCTAGAAGAAGAAAAAAAAAAAAAGACGTAGGTAGGTAAGGTGCTATCTTCTATAGCAAAAAATCTGAAAACACTCGTGTCTTCTGCAAGTGTGAGGGGCACTTCTTTACATGATTACCCATCAATTCCCGAATAAAGGGTCGTTCCCACTACAGTTGAGACTAAAGCCAAAGCTACAAACGCTATACTCCGTTCAATGATATTGTAGTGAGTGCGGAGGCGAGCTGGTGGAAATTAACCATTCTAATGTTAGCCTGAGACTGAGGCAGGAAAAGAGGAAGTTTCAAAGTAGAAGAAAAAGGAAGTTTCGACAGTTCCTTTTTCTTCTACTTTGAAACTTCCTCTTTTCCTGCCTCAGTCTCAGGCTAACATCAGAATGGTTTATACTCCGTTCACCACTTGCAGCTCAGCCTTCAACGCGGGCTCGCTGGCTTCCGCGCTGCTTTGGTTGCGCGTGCCCGCGTGTTCACACTTGTGTTAGCAAAGGCAGAAAGCTCGCGCTGAAGGCCGAGATTCTAGTCTCAGCTTAAGGGTGAACGGGGTATTCGCGGCGAGAAGTTTGGGTATCACCGCCTGGTGGAATTTGTTCACAACCCAGAGTGAGGATACTTCAACTTCCTCTGCTGGTGTAAGCATGTGCAATTCCAAGCTTCCATGCACTATGAAAATTAAAACATAACTGCGTGGGTAGCACGTGCACTACTCGCAGTGTGGCAGAGCCGTTTATTGGGAGAGTTTGGCCATACATTGGCTTGAATAGGCGAGCATTTCGGGGCCAAATATAGGACTCGAAACAGCCTTTAGCGGTGGTCGTGAGCTGCACATATGTGACACGACTAATTTAAACCGTTTTCGCGTTGCTAGAGTGAAAAGGCATAACTCTCGGTGATTGAAAACTTGGCGCATACGAGGTTTTCGTCACGTCCGTATTCAACGGCAGAATGAACGCACGTGCGCCCCAGACACAGGGCCGACTTGCTAGAAACAGCGTCTGAGCTGAGACTGGGGGGAAGAAAGCACCGCCAAAGCCAGCGCACGAGCTGAGCGGGGCTCATTCCACGTCTCGAGACACTCGTGCGCTCCAGCCTTTAGACTGTTTTCTTTCCGTCAGTCTCAGCTAAGACGCTGTTCTACCAAGCCGGCCCAGAGCAAACTGTCACTGAGATTACAGTGTACTAGAATACTGTACCGAGACGCCGAGATTGAACGCTTCAATTTCACGCTCTAAATGCAGTTTTCAATACTGTGACGTCGCGGTCTGCTGATTGGTCGACACTGTGTTGCCCTTTTAGTTTACGCTCTAACCACGGGGGCAGTATTCGGCGCTGGCGGCGACCTTTGCTCCACCCATAGGCCAAACTCTCCCAATATACGTCTCTGCAGTGTGGAAATCAGACTCGCCCCTAGCGAGCTTCTCACCTCGAATAGCTTGCCCGGGAGATCGGGGCTTTGAAACGTTCTTCTGCAGAACGAGCTCTCGCACTGGAAAGGGACGTCTCAAAGCCAGTCGCGTGGGCTAGTTTGCGTTTCTAGCCTTAGCTGTAGTCTCAGCATGTTTAAAGGAGCTGTGCAACGATATTCAATTGGAATGTTTTTCTCTCTACACTAGCTTACTGGCACACCTCGGACTCAAGGATACTCACACGCAACACCATTGGCCAAGAAACTCCTTTGTTGTGGTGTAATTTCAAGGACAAAAGCGATCATTTTCATTCAATCTCTCCTTTGCAAAATTTGATGACGTAACTCGGGGATCCCAGTACACCCAAGTGACGATATTTGAATGCGGTTCATAGATTGGACCCGAGCATTGCGTGGGCACTCGACTTGGGCTCGTGACAATTGCTAGCTCGAGAAGCATTCGGGTTGTGACCCGTGTCCAATCGCTGCAACGACGACAACAGCCGAGCCATAACAATGTCTGGAACTCAGCGCGTGTCCTGCGCTTTGCCAACCCCTGCGCGTGGCTATGATCAACACTGGCGGCATATAATCGGCTCCAGATCACGTGGCCGCTTGTTCTGGCTGCGAGTTGAGGGGGTGAACGCCGCTCGCTTTTCTTAAATTTTTTTCTGGGACTTCTATTGCGTGGGGTGAAAAACGAACGCGTGTTTCATAGGTCATTAACGTTAGGGATCCGATTTAAGCGGTATTTGTGCACAGTACAAAAATTGTTGCATCGCTCCTTTAAGAAGTATTAGCGGCGAGTTGTTTTGGTGGCGCCCTCCTATGGTTCCCCTTTGTGACGTCATTACCTTGCGAACAACAACTTCGATGGTGTTTGCAAATAGCATGGTGCAAGCCTGAAATCATTGCGCTCTCAAAGCAACACTGCCAACACCGTCGAAATTAAAGTTCTTTCATTCCTCTTATTTCCGTCGATGGTATACCCTTTCCGACGTCATAGTCAGCTTTTGCGCCAATCGTGGAAGGCCGACCATAGCGACGCTTTCGGTCGCGCACGTCGTCAATAGGCCGTTGCAAGCATGGCGTCAAAGCCGGTGCCCCCTCCGTGCAAGCACATGCGGCATGCACGTGACGGTACCTTTCCCAGGCTCGCGATTGCGAATGCGTTCTCGCTCAAGTAGAAAGATGGCCGTGGCCAGGTTCTTGCTTGCAATCGTCTGAAGCTCTCGTCAGCATCGCGTCGAACGTCTTAGCAGCGTTTCATAACTAGCGCGACGCTGTCAGGCGGAGACGCCAAGACGGGCGCGTTGCACGCTGCAGCGACCGCCGAAGAGCTTCGGCTTGTTATCCGCTTGGGCCTTCCAGGGGTCCACAAATGAACACGTCACGTATACGCCTTGCATAGGTGATGCATAGGAATTCAGCAGAAACGTAGTATAGGGGGCATAGGTGGAGGTGGAGCTCTTTCGTTTCTCTGGTCGGGCCATGTGCGCTGGGGCCTCGGTGCTGCCTTGGCTGGACGAACTCGGAACCGTTCCATGGAGTGCTCTCGGTCCTGGTTGGATTGACAGGGAGGATACGGCATAACGCCCCCTGAACTTCGACGATTCTTCTACACACATGGTACATTAACTTAAGGGCCGATTGATTATTATCCCTCTATCTCCTCTAGACAACTATACCCCCTTCATTGGTGATATACCATGTACCTTCCGTCGTCCGTTCAGCTTTTATTCGTTTTATACTACGATAAAAGCTATATATGCACAGACACAAGGGTAGTATGAATGTATGCTATATATGACGGATCGTGTTAGAATAATTCCCCCTGAATATACTCGGTTGCTTTTTCGTGTTCAATTCCGGATCGCTCCCTGGCTTCACCCCCTCTCCTTTCTCTCTCACTCGCACATACACACACACATACACCGGGTCGTGTAGATGTTTGAGCGTGTTAATTATTAATTTACGATAAGGAAAGAGGGATATTTAAGACAGGCAAGACCGTGACCAATATATTCAGCAAAAAGCAAAAACTCTCGACTGCCACAAAGTCTTTCTTGGGTGGTCTTTCCCTTTTTTTTCCAGCTTATCTAACCCAATTTATTTATTTCAATTAAATATTGTAAATATGGTGATGGCGCGGTGATAAAGAATGACATGCATTTACGTAGCTTCTGTTTTTCCTTTCTCACCAGAACCTAGAAGATAAAGTCGGTCGCATCTCAAGGGAAGCAGTCACCCGAAGGAGAGTGGAAATGCTCAACGAACGAGTCGAGACGTACCTTGGTCCTTTAGAACGGCTGCTGAACGGCCTGCGTGATGTAGACAAAGAATGAATCGCACTCCCCCACATGTACCTGTCCCCGATTTTGTCTGTATTGAACTGCTGTGTTTCGAGCATTCCAAAACCAACAATTCTGTCGACTGCATGCAAGTGGCCAGAATGCTATGATTAGACTTGGAGTTTTCAAAAGTACATGTTTTCAGGCGTTAAATAAAATTAGTGGTTTCCAGATATATACATTCTTCGTGCTTCATGACGTGGCTTGCGGATTCTTATTTTGTTCAGAAATCCGAAGTATCTTTTGTGAAGAAAACCTAAAAGATGTTGTGAATTCGCTATCTTCGCGTTAGCATGGTAAACAATAGGGAGTTTTAGTACATCGTTTTCAAAGGCCCGCTACCGCTACAAGCGCGCGCTTCAGAGCATGCATCGAAGGGGCAGCGCAAGCTCCCG